GAGTGCCGTCATTATCCTTACCTGAAGATGAGGAACCTTTGGGGAAATGCAGCTGGAACTTGAACAAGATGAACTGTCTCTGGAATTTGCTATCTTAACCATTTAGCCTATATATGTCTTAATGTGTTTTATTTTCAAATTTTTAATGTTTATTCATTTTGAGAGAGAGAGAAGAGACAGGCTGAACACGAGTGGGGGAGGGTTAGAGAGAGAGGGAGACACAGAATCCGAAGCAAGCTCCAGGCTCTGAGCTTGTCAGCACAGAGCCTAGAGTGGGGCTTGAACTCACAAACTGCCAGACCATGAGCTGAGCCAAAGCTGGATGCTTAACTGACTGAGCCACCCAGGCATCCCTCCTAATGTGTTATATAATAGTGGACATGTATCACCTTTTTTTGTTTGTTTGTTTACAGTAAGTCTGTAAAATAAGTGGTGTACAATGGTTACTTAAGTCATGGCTTTGGGGAACTGAGGCCCAGAAAGATTGAGTAATCAGCTTAAAATCACACAACTAGAGCAAAACCAGTCATTTTGCGTACAACTCACATTCCTCCGTTCATAGCTACAATACCCTTCCCCACCATTTGCACCAGCATCCATCTGTATCATTCTTCCAAATAGCTAGGATGCTTTTGCCCAGGTCCACACCTGGCAAATCATTCTCCCTGCATTCTGTCTGTGACTAAGAGCACACATTTGTGAGCTACATGCAATAACTGGACCCTTGGCCTTGCCAGCCCGCTGAGCCAATGGTCTGCAAAGAAAGAAAGTATTCCAAAACAGGAAACTAAAGAGAATGGTGTAGAAGCATAGTGTGCCTTCTTTTTCTGATGTTTCTTGCTTGGTCAAAAATCACAAATTATAATACAATTCTAAGTTCAACTAGATTCCTAGGAAACAACTCCAAGTCTTAATATGTTGCCATTATTCCGCTGCTATCACAAACAGATAAAAAGCCCACAAAGTCTTACAACATCAGTAGTGGTCTGGGGCATCTGGGTGGCTCAGTCAGTTAAGCGTCTGCCTTCAGCTCAGGTCATGATCTCACAGTTTGTGGGTTGGAGCCCCGTGTTGGGCTCTGTGCTGACAGCTAGGTCAGAGCCTGGAGCCTGTTTCAGATTCTGTGTCTCCCTCTCTCTGACCCTCCCCTGCTCATGCTGTCTCTATCTCTCTCTCAAAAATAAATAAAAATATTAAAAAAAAAAAAACCCATCAGTAGTGGTCCAAGAATGAACACTCGCCAGTCTGGAAGTATGGGAGCCCACCCCTAGGTGACAAGGAGTCACTGCTAAGCTAAAGCTCCTTCACACCACACATGTTGAAAAAACTTATAGGCAAAACTGTATTTCTTTAGTTCAGCTCACATTTACAGTCGGTACACTGGAATGATGGATGGATTCGTTGCCGAGGGTAAGGAGGCAGCAGCTTGGAGCACCATGACTGCAGAGCTGGGGCTGCAGCTACTTTTGCCACAAAGACGCTTTCCCTCAGGCATTCTAGATCATTTCTGCACAAGGAGTTGCCTTGGGTGGTAGGCTAATAGGACCAGTACCAGGGTGGCCATGACTGTGTGCATGTAAGTAAGTGACTAGAGACATATTTATTAATAGAAGCAATAGAGAGGGACAATTCAGCCAGAAGAGGTCAGTTGGAAGAAGGAAAATTATGTTCACAATAATTTGGGATCTCCAGATAAGACCGGGTAAAGGAAGCCTTGTCGTTTGAATGAATGAAAATCAAGCCTTCAGGATCCAAGAGGCCATCCAGAGTAAAGTCACGTTTTTACAGAAATTTAAAATGTTTGCAGCCCTAGGGAATGAACACAGACCTCTGAATTGAGGACAGGCATGGGATTGTAAGAATTGCTCAAATATCTGAAAAAAAAATTATAAGTATGTACATCAAGCCTCCTTCTGAGCAAGAGATGATTGAACTACATGCTATTTCTGGCTGTTAAGAAAATAGAGCCTAAAATTACAGTCTATAAATAATAAATTTTCACAAAAGAAAGAAAGCATAGGGAGGACTCTGTACAAGTTGTGTGAGGAGAGTACAGATAGAATCCATGGATCAAAGGGAAATCAGAATCAGACGGAGAATCAGCTTTTCTAGAACTATGCAAGAGAGCCAGTGACTAAGATCAACGTTTCTCATTTAAAGTAAAATCTCCCTAATTTGAAACCCAGGGAACCAAAACAATAGATTCTGAATTAATTAAGTTTCAGTTTATCCTTTTCTTTTGAAATTAAAGAACAGCAGAGAAATAGCCTTGAATCACATCTTGTTTTAAATAAACCAATGTTGAAGTAATGAAGTCTTTACATATTATTGTGACAAGTAATCCAAATTCCCCCAAATAATTGCTCTAACTCTGTTTATTCATCTATTTCTGGGCTTTGCCTAGTATGTCTCCAGGTCCTTCGTTAAAGTCACCCCACCCCACACGGTTAGCGGTTTTCATGGGACTAACTCCACTTTCTGGGAGAACGGCCTCCCTCATGTGGTCAGTTGAAGGGATCATGACTCAGTATAGGACTTGAAGCTGAAAAACATTTTCATTTTTTGGGGGGCCTGAACAGTCATTGACCACAGCCGTGGGAAAAGAGTTTATTCACAGGAATTAGGAACAGATTTGTGAAAAGACTTCTGTGCTTCAGAAAGAAACAAAGTCCATTTCATGGAACTGGTTATTTTCACTTCCTCTCCAAAGACGGTGGGGTCTGCAAACGGGTAGAAGAGTCTTACTCAGAGTCCAGCTCCTAGACGGAGACCCGAACAGTGGTTTGGGCAGATACTCTAAGGTAACTGTAGAGCTCCCTAAGAGAACCACCACTAAAAATTGCGAAGTCTGGTTCAGAATGCTCACACAGGTCTTAAAGGCAAGGTCACGTTGCCTACAGAGTATTACATGCAACATACGCGCATACTTTAACCATCATTCTGGCTTAGGAGTAAAGCATTTGGAGAGTTCTAAGTGGGTTAATTAGAAGATAAACAATAAAAACCTAGGCATCTCCAAGACCTTTGCAGTCCAATGTGATAGCCGCCAGCCACACGTGGCACTGACCACTTGAAATGTGGCTACTCCAAAATGATAAAATACACATCAATTTCAAAGATTTTAGCATTAAAAAGATTCTATAATATCTCAATAATTTTTATATTGTTTACATATTGAAGTGATAACATTTTGGATATATTGGGTTAGACTATTTTATTAAAATTAATTTACATGTTACCTTTTACATATTGTTAATGTGGCTACTAGAAAATTTTATCTAAAATTTTTTATAGTTTTTTTTTTTTTGTTTTAACAGAGAGAGACAGAGCATGAGCAGGGGAGGGACAGAGAGAGAGGGAGACACAGAATCTGAAACAGGCTCCGGCCTCTGAGCTGCCTGCACAGAACCTGATGCGGGGCTCGAACCCACGAACCGCGAGATCATGACCTGAGCTGAAGTCAGACACTCAACTGACTGAGCCACCCAGGCGCCTCTAGAAAATTTTAAATTACATGCGGTTCTCATACCTAGCATTCCGTTGCACATGTTACCCTGGAAAATCTATGAAATATAGGGTACTGTTTTTTTCTACTTGAGATTCATTTTCTTGTTAAATCCATATTACAACCCAAGGACATGGCCATTATCATTCTTCTTTTTATAAATGCAAAAACTTAGGGGTTATGAAATATGCCCTAAGTCATACAAGTAGTAATTGGTGGGACCAGGTCTACCTCACGCGAATCCATGTTTTGTGTCAATCCTGTTCAAGCATCTGTCTTTGATATTCTACTGGGGTGACCTTGTAATGAGCTATGTGTGAGATGTGCTTGGACAACTGAATATTCTATAAGACCTGAAACAGACAATTTGTTAAACATACTTAAAACAAGTACAAACAGCACACAGGGTAGCCGGAGTGGTAGGCCAGTGTTTTATGCAAACTGTTCCTCATTGGTATTGAGGATGGACAAGAGTGGATGGAAACACAAATCCAACTCTGTGTACAGGCATTCCAGCCATTCCAGGCATTTCTCCAGGTTACTTCATTTATTCCTCAAAGCAACTCTTAGAGGTGAGACAGTCTCAGAGTGGTTACTGGATTTGCTAGGTATCTCAGGGCTAGCTGGTCAGTAACAAAGCCTAGACAGAAGTCAAGTCTGATTCCTTCCCCATGATGCTTTGGGTCCTCCTTTTAATCCATGCCAACTGTTTGTCAGCTTGTCTAGACACTGGGTTACCAGCTACTCTGTTTCCATAACACATTGTAGTTCGTGGCCCAGACTGACTGAAGGTAGGGTCTGCCTGCAAGAGAGAGAAAGAGAGAGACAGAGAGACAGAGAGACAGAGAGAGAGGACAAAGCCAAGGCTTTCCTCGGGATGGGGCAAGATACAAGCATTGGATTTCCCATGCCAGCACCTGTGGTGTTTAGAGTTGGAAGATAATAATAAATCTAGTGTCTTGATGGAATACAAACAAGGTAAATAGCTCACAGTGGAATTTAAATTTCAAGGACTGGATTGAAAATTAGAGCTAAGATTTAAGGTCAAAATAGAAAAGAAACCAAAGGAGACAATGATATCTAGAAGTGGAGGCCTGAGGAATTTTGCAGGCAGTGTGCAGAAATCTGGTCCCATATTTAATGAGGTTCCCCGGCTGACCCGAATGGACATTCAGGGTACAACTAATGAATGATGCGTCTAAAATGAAATGGACATTGGTTCATGCTGTTCCATTCTATCCTGATGCACTGATCAGTTCTTGTAGCAGAAGCAAAATAGCAGAAAGAAATAATTTTCTATCTATGTATATAGTTGTGTAATTCTGTTGACTATTTGGTTTTGCTATTTCATAGAGTTCCTCAACCCTGGCCATTCCAGTTCCCATTAGCAACTTCACAGATTTCAGAAAGTTCTAGAATGTTGATTGTGCCCTCATTGCTGCCCATGTTCCAAGTGCCAGTGGCAAGGTTCCACAACTGATGTGACTTGGAGAGTTTTCCATCCAGCCCTCTGAATCTCTGCCTGACTTCCAAGGTCACACTGTTGATCACTGCTATCCGATTGGGTTTGTATATGTGAGAAGGAATTAAGGCTTTGAGGATCATTTGAGATCAAGGTGAAGAACGATGTATTTCCGGGATAAGGAGTTTGCCGTTTATGCTCAAAGCAATGAGGGAACATTGAAATTGTATGGACAGTGAGTGGCATATCAAAGCGTGTTTTACAATGATTCATTTCTGTTTTAGTGGATTTATAGTTCAACGTACCAAAACTGGAGTGGTATTAACTATTGTGTTCCTTTATAAAATTTAATTCACACTGCGGGTATGGCTCATATATTACCAAACACATGGTAATTTCATTGAAAGAACAAAACCGAGGAATTTTCAAATTGTTCATTTTTACTCCTCTTTTTGAGGAAGTTTGAAACACATGAACGCTTTCAACTTGCTATTGCAAGATATTAAACTAAAATTATCATGTATCATGTATTTTCTTTAAAAAAAACACTATCTTAGAGCTGTTTTAGGGTCACATCAAAATGGAGAGGAAGGTAGAGTGGTTTCCCACGCTTCTCCTACCCCCCCCACATGCACAGCCTTTTCTATCAACATCTCCCTCCAGAATGGTACATTTGTTATAATCCCTGAAACTACGTTGATATGTCCTATATTTTCTACCAGTTGATCAAAGCGCACACTATTTGCTTCCTAAGTCAAACATATAATTGGAATAAGCCAATTCTAGTTTTTAAAACTTTAGCATATTCTATTTTTATAACTTTGTCTAAGACTGTGTTACTGTATACCATGTTCAAACAGTAATAGGGTGGTAAGTGAAATAGAAAGTTCTAAGATTTTATGGCAGACTTTTCCCTATAAAATTTTAAAGAAATGTCAAGCACATTAAACCAGATAACCACTGAAATGTGTACATGCAAGTCTTCCAGACTTCAAAAATATAATGCTTTTAGACAGGCTTTGTTGTGTGGTTGTTCTGAATCTTCTTGGCATTTAAAGCAAATACCAGGCTCAAAAAAAGTCAGTTTCATTATAATAAGAGCCAACATTGACTGAGCCTATATTATGATTCGGGCATTGTTTATTCATTCATTCATTCATTCATTCATTCATGTCACAAATGTTTGCTGAGGATCTAATAAATGCTAGACCACTCTTGGCAATATTCTAAATGCTGGTTATGTAGCACTGAATAAGACAGACAAATAGCTTGACATAATGAAACTTTCACCTAGCAGAGAAGGTATATTTGTCCATTGTTTTCGGGGCTTTTTTAATATATGAGGTGGTATTATATATCTTCTGCTGATGAGAATGATAAAACTAATGAAGAGGAGGGAGAGAGAGGATAATCGTAGATGTGCATGCCATGATTAAGTGAGAAGGGAAGAAGGGAAGTAAATAGAGTGCATATACATTTTTCTGGCCTTAAAATTTATGTCCTTTCCACTCCACCATATTGTTTTTGAAAAACTATATATATACATACACATATACACATATATTACATATACCATATATATGTAATATACACACGCACATTTGTGTATCTTCATCCTCCTTGGCATTTTACATGTATATACGTCTACCTGTTCTCATGTATGTATACAAGTGCTATGGAGGATAGAAACGGAATTGTTTAGAGACACAGTTAGTAAATTAAGCATAAATGTTTTAAATGTAAGTACTGTAATTTCAAGCAGAGTTGTAGAATGGATAAATATATAATAGACATAATAGACACATATATAACACATACACTGTATATAACATATATACATTTGAGTTTATACATAACTGTATGAATATATTTGCTCTTTTAAAGTCATCAAAATGTTATAGTTATGTTTAGACCACCTCAAGGTGAAGGATAAAGAAAATGTCTCATTTTCCGGGGAATAAATGGCAGTACTGATGGGGATCTCTTGATACCAGGAAAGCTTTTTTGCAAGATTAAATGGGATTACCACCAACAGGCCCATGGCATGTTTGGTTTTGAATTAAAATATAGAAACCTTATTACCAAAATTTACATTGCTGCCTTAACCTTCATCTAATTTTGCTGATCCCACGGCCTCGAATAGACAGCAGTGCTAGAGAACTGCACACACCTTTCTTTGTCATCCCACTCAGAAGCCCCTGGTCACTCTGGAGGAAAAGCAGATGCATGAATTTTAAATTGCTCATCACATTCACGTTTTTCTTTAAAAAAGTGTATTACAAATCAATATTTTATTCATGAAAACATTAAACATTATATTAGTACCAAAACATTTTATAGAACCTTGAAATTTATTCTAAAGCGGAGGGTTTCCTTTTGCTTTCTGCCTAAGTACTGTCCTATAACTGAAACACTTCCCAAAACCAGTGACGGCAGCTTCATTCTCTAACAGAAACAATTTACCTGGACTCTCTGCAGACAAGAGCTTAACCCCAAGGAATTGCATTAATTGGCAACAAGCTTTGTGAGGAGACAGAGGGGACTTGGTTTTTCACCTTCTCCCACAGGGAATGACTTTCACTGTCATTTACAGGAGCCTGGACGTAAAGGGTCTGGCTTCAAAGTGAAACATGGAGATAAGTTATTTTGATATATTCTCAATGTTCCATTCTTCTCCAGTCCTTGAAAATTCTTCACTCATATGTAAATGATCAAATGAAATAATTGAAGCCAGAGAAGAAGACCATGTTACTGAGTCCAACATGCTTACCCACATGTATTTAAATATTGCAGAACAATATATTGATGGTTATGGCCTCAAAGTGAAGGACAATGTGTCCAGTTTGCCATCAGATCACATTGCTCTATAGATTCTGATTCAGAAAATGTTCTCATGCAGAATATTCTTTAAGTTTCACAAATTTATCCATCTGAAATGTTCTCTAGTAGTGCCCTAACTTAGCTTTTAGATCCAGAAAAAATAAGATGGAAGACAATATCCCTGGCTTATTTATTCCCTAGAAAAGAGGATAGTTTTATATACTTTACTCTCAATTTATGGCAGACAGACAATTCAACATGTTTCTATTTTTTCAAGTATAAAACACTGGAAGTGTATGTGTGCACTAAGAAAGAAGAAATTCTTCCCAAAACATGAGCACCATATGACCAGATCCTTGGAGGTAATACAGAATGCCTGGATCACAATGGAAAATTTAGAAGATGGTTATTAAGATTAAAGATCTAAAAATTGAGAGATGAAGGATTCTGCCAACTTTAGTGCTGTCACAAATAGACTTCCCCTGTAGCTGACACAGAGAGAGAGCGAGTACTAGGTTATAGAAAAATGTGCTCTGAGAAGCTGTCCAGGCACCACCAGCTTGCTGCGGCCTTACAGTATAATGTCCAAGAGAAAGATCATGCAAATCGTAAACTTAAGTCACACACATAGTTTTAAATGTTCAAGTAGCCATTTCTAAAAGAAAGATAAAATTAATTTCAATGAGGTCTTTGAACCCGGGGCACCTGGGTGGCTCAGTCAGTTAGGCAGTCAACTTCAGCTCAGGTCCCGATCACACATATCATGAGTTCGAGCCCGGAGTCAGGCTCTCTGTCGTCAGTGCAGAGCCTGATCCTTTGTTCCCCCACCCCCATCTGCTCCCTCTGTTTCTCCCTCTCTCTCTCTCTCCCTCTCAAAAATGAATAAACATTTATGTAAACAAATAAATAAATAAATAAAATCATTTAACCCAAGATATCTAAAATATATTTTTTTAATGTTTATTTTTGAGAGAGCAAGAAAGAGAGACAGAGCACAAGCAGGGGAGGGGCAGAGAGAGACGGAGACATAGAATCCCAAGCAGGTCCAGGCTCTGAGCTGTCAGCACAGAGCCCTACAAGGGGCTCAAACTCGCCACCCATGAGATCATGACCTGAGCTGAAGTTGGACACTTAACCAACCAAGCCACCCAGGCGCCCCCCAATATATCTAAAATATTATCATTTGAACATATAGTCAATAAAACGTTATTGAAATATTTGCATACATTTTTTCATATTAAGTCTTCAAAATACATTGGGTATTCACACTTACATCTCAGTTGGACTAATGACCTTTCATGGGCTCCACAGCCGCACGTGGCCAGTGGCTGTCATTACAGACAGTGGTTTAGAGCCTGAACACACACAAAGACGTTCTCATTTTGTTCTCGTCTCTCTCTCTTCTTTCTTTCTTTTCTTTCCTTCCTTTGTTTCTTCTCTTGCCTTCTGTCTCTCTTCCTTTCTCTCTCTCTCCTTCCGAGTCTGTGCATGCTAGGTACTGAGGATACAATAGCAAGCAATATAGGCCTATGTCGTAAATTACAAAAACATTGCCTTCTTTCCAAAAAAAAATTAAAAGCACTACTTAAAGATACATAAAATAGGGGTGCCTGGGTGGTTCAGTGGGTTGAGTGTCCAATCTCGTGGTTTGTGAGTTCGAGCCCCGTGTCAGACCCTGTGCTGACAGAGCCTAGAGCCTTTGGATTCTGTGTCCTCTCTCTCTGCTCCTCTCCCACTCATGCTCTGTCTCTTTCTCTCTCAAAAATAAACATTAAAAAATATAAAGATACATAAAACAGTATACACTAGTTTCAATTCAGCCACAAATGTGGCTATGAGTTTTCTGGCATTTGAGAGAAGGTGACAAACATTATCGGTTACACAATTCACAGTATACATGATCCAGAGTCACTAAGATAAACTCAAACCGGTTTCTTCAGAGGAGAATTACTCTCCTCTGACTTTATAAATCTAGTCTTTTTAAAAATTTTTTAATGTTTTTTATTTATTTCTGAGAGAGAGAGAGACAACATGAGCAGGGGAGGGTCAGAGAGAGAGGGAGACACAGAATCCAAAGCAGCCTCCAGGCTCTGAGCTGTCAGCACAGAGCCCAACACAGGGCTCGAACCCAGGAACCCTGAGATCATGACCTGAGCTGAAGTCAGATGCTTAACCGACTGAGCCACCCAGACACCCCTATAAATCTAAAGTCTTATAAATCAGTGTATGAATACAACATGGTAGACTGCTCTATAAGGGTGCATGTGATGCTTTTTCACTGCAGGTCTCCAGCTGTATAACATGTAAGAAATGCAATGATCTCACACAATACCCATGAAAAAACCTGATCTTTGTAAAATGACTTGGATCCTGGAAAAAAATTGTTTAATGAAACTCTTAGTATTGTTTTATTATTGAATACATTTTATTCGATTCAAATTCCTGAACAGTTGACTTGGCCTTCTTTGTTACAGATACAAAAGCAAAGAGCCTCTAGCCTAGAAAGGCAACAGCAATTTCACAGAGCTAAAACCAAAACTTGTGAACAGAAGATCACGAAAATCCATTAAAAACTTAATACAAAAGATGCACGCTGTATTTTTTATAATAAATAAATGAATATAGAGGACAAATTTCACTTACACATTGCCATACTCACAAAGTATGAAGAGCTTATAAAAAGGGAAGTGCCTTAGATTGAGGTTCTTTAAGAACTGAAATTCATTCATTTTATGTGACACAAAGGGGGAGATTCATGTGGCTTACCTACAAAAAGTGCTGAAAATGTTTTTTGCCCCGTCATTTATTTATCTTAGAGGAATAGAGTTTTATTTATTTTTTTATTTTTTTAAGGTTTTATTTATTTTTGAGAGAGAAAGAGAGACAGCGTGAGCAGGGGAGGGGCAGAGAGAGAGGGAGACACAGAATCTGAAGCAGGCTCCAGGCTCTGAGCTAGCTGTCACCACAAACAAAGCTCGACACGGGGCTTAAACCCACGAACTGTGAGATCGTGACCTGAGCTGAAGTCGGACGCTTAGCCAAATGAGCAACCCAGGCATCCCAAGGAATAGCATTTTAAATAGAATATTTAAATTCTGAAACAAATTGTATTAGCGTTCACATCTCTAATCAGCTAAGGGGCTAATATGCAACTGCCTCAAAATGCAGAACTACCTGGGATCGGGACTGTGCTTCCCTTTGATACAGAAGGGTCTCAAATAGGTAATCCCTTCATTCTCTCAAGAAGGACAATTTTAAGATTGCAATAACCTCAGGTCCACAAAATGGGGCCAGGCTCCCCAGCTGTCCCCTCTTCCTTCAAACACACACACTAGCTAATGGTTTACTGTACATGGACTCTAGTTCCATCTGAAGGTGAGAAGGCCAAGAGCAAAGAATTCGGTGCACTTATGTCTTTTTGAATAAGGATATTGATACCATGCTACCATTATGTCCACCAGAAGACACAACTAAAATATCAAGGGTCCCTCAAGGCTAAATGAAATGGCTAAATATGCATTTATTGATTTCTAAAGAAATATTACCAAGACACTGGGTAATAACTCACCACTCTCATGATTGAAAGGGTCTTGACTCTCTCTAAAGCAGAGACAGGACTCCAGAATACACGATGGTGTTAAAACTATTGCAGGATGCATTGTAGAACAAAGCCGAATCAGGGAGGGCGAAGAAAAGTCCTTCGTGCAGACATTTAACTTGAATCAAATCTATTCTGCATCTTTTCTTTTATTGTTGTTCTCTCATTCATTTCTTGTAAAGCAAAAATTGTGATTAATTAATAACTTTGAACTCCAGTGTGGGGCTCTAATCACAACCCCTCAACTTAGGGTGGCAGACAATGCATTTATGCACTGAAAGCTCTCTAAAAATACATGCAGGGCAGGGACACAGAAACTTGCACACACAGGAAAACCACCACCCACCCACTGGGGAATTCAAATATTTTTCTCAAACAAGAGGAACATGTGCAATGACATATTTTTTTTTCTTTTTAGTTGACAATTGTCTCCCTTTTCTGTAGATCTTAATGGTGAAATAATGGATCCTGCCAACCATTATGAGCGTCAACCCGTCTGGGGACCCATAACTTTTATTGTGGTCCATTATCTGGCCATTAGAGGCCACAAGTGTCCTCAGCACAATTGTGTAACATTGTGCTGAGGAAAAGGTGTGGAAACTGTGGAGGCAGCAGGTTTTTCTAGTACCTAAACCACAGAAACTCCAAAATGTCCTATATTACGACCATTCATTTTCCTTATGCTGAAATGTTTATAGTGTATGCCTCGTGGATAAAGCTTCCCTATCTAGCCCTGCCAAGAAACCAAATATCCCACCCAGCACTGTGGCGAAACATCCTTCCCTTCTTTCCTAGGAGCGAGCAGTCCTGATTCAAACCAAGACAGTTTGTTATATCTATTTTGCTTAGAAGACCAATATGCTCTGATTGTAGAGAAGGTCACTGCGCCTATCATACTAGAGGTGAAAAAGTGACAAAAAGGAGGCCTGGGTGTTCTCAAGCGCAGCGCCAACCTCACGTGGTCTGCGTAAAATAATCTGCTGCAAAGGCGAAACACAGGCCCCACGAAGGGAAGCCTCCCGTCTGTGTGTGTTTGCTACTGAAAGAAAACAAGCACATCATTTTCGCTACTGCTCCCTTGTTAGCTACTGGCCAGCCCTTTGGTACACCCACTGATCACCGCCGTCATCATTACTTTCTATTGGTTTTACCCTCACAGACCGCACACGTTGATGAACTTACAAACATGCGTAATTCAAGGTGTTGCTTGTGTTTGCAGCCAAGTGTGGCCCATCCTTCATTCAAAGGGCACGGAGGCCAGATGTTGTATTTCCTGGGCCTAATGTAGAGTGTGTGGAGCTCAGAATAGGGCCAGTGCTCCATAAGGAATATAATAAAGGCTTTCCACCTCCCTTGTCAGCCACCTCCTGACCCTCCCTTAATTTTGAAAAGCTTTATGGCCGGTTTTCCCCACCTTAATTCTTAGATCAGACTCCACAGCTTGCATTAGCAGGAGCGTAGGTGGGAGATCTTTAGGTTGGGCCCAGCCCCACAGCACGCTGACCTGAGGGCAAAGAGACCATTATTGAGACTCCTCTAATGGGTTTCTCCTGATGTCTGGGAGTCTAAAAGTCAAGAACCTTAATTAGGAAAGGCCAACAGATCACTTCAAAGTATTCCCCGAAGTGGGTGATTTGTGTGTTTATTGCCAAACAACATCTAGACAACAATGGCCACTCAACAATATTTAACCAACAGTGTTTGTTAGGCACTTATTATGTGCTATACCCTGTGTTAAATAAGGCATTTGAAAACTCCAACTCTCAACGTGTGTTCTTCTAGTGGAGAAAAGTAGAAAAAAATACAAATAATCAGACAAGAAAATATCAAACAGTTGCTATGAAAAGAATAGAAACATCCTGGTGGTGGATGGCCCAACGTATATTAGGTGGTTAGGAAAGGCCAGTCTCTGGGGGCTGACATTTATTCTAAGAAGCAAGTTGTCAGGAAAGATCTGGGAGTGGACGTTTCCTGGAAGGAGGCTGGAGAAAAGGATCCAGGACTCCAGAAGTTTAATGCCCTCAAGGAACGGAGACAAGAGCAGTGTGAGCAGAAAGGAAGTGAGCAGCCATGGGAGCTCAGGAGGAGCAAGCAGTGAAGTGGGAAGACCGGCAGGTGGGGTGGGGCCAGGAGAGATGAACCAGGAGGGCAGGGGCCAAAAACGGGTTGTGTTTTTATTACAACTGAGTATATCCAAAAGCATTGAGAGTTTTCAAGCAAGGTTGAGATTTTTTTAATTATTTGTGGTGGGGCGCCTGGGTGGCTTAGTCGGTTAAGCGTCCGACTTTCGCTTAGGTCATGATCTCGCGCTTCGTGGGTTTGAGCCCCGCGCCGGGCTCTGTGCTGACTGTCAGCTCAGAGCCTGGAGCCTGTTTCAGTCTGTGACTCCCTCTCTCTCTGACCCTCCCCTGCTCACGCTGTCTCTCTCTCTCTCTCCTAGAAATAAATAAAAAACATTAAAAAAAAATTATTTGTGGAGAAGAAGAGTCAAATCACCTCATGGGGGATGACTTATGCGGAGGGGTTGCCGGAGGGAAGAGTGGCATGAGGAGGCTTAAGAAGATACGCTACACATATATGCACTGGAATATTACCTGGCCATACAAAATAAAATGAAATCTTGCCCTTGCAACAGCTCGGATGGATCTAGAGAATATTATGCTAAGTGAAATAAGTTAATCAGAGAAAGATAAATTCCATATAATTTCCCTTATATGTAAATTTTCATAAGCAATGAACAAAGAAAAAAAGAGACCAAAAAAAATTAGACTCTTAAATACAGAGAACAAACTGGTGGTTAGCAGAGGGGGAGGTGGGTGGGGGGATGGGGGAAATGGGTTAAGTAGGGTAAGAGTTCACTTATCCTGATGAGCACCGAGTAATGTATAGAATTGTTAAATCACTAGGGCGCCTGGGTGGCTCAGTCAGTTAAATGTCTGACTTCAGCTCAGGTCGTGATCTCGCGGTTCATGGGTTCGAGCCCCACTTCGGACTCTGTGCTGACAGCTAGCTCAGAGCCTGGGGACTATTTCAAATTATGTGTCTCCCTCTCTCTCTGACCCTCCCCTGCTCATGCTATCTCTCTCTCTCTCAGAAAAAAACAAAACAAAAAAAAATTAAATAGAATTGTTAAATCACTGTATTGTACACATAATTCTAATATAACACTGTATGTTCATTATACTTGAATGAAAAATAATAATGGTCTAAAAAAAACCAAAAAGAGTGGCATAAGAAGCCAGTTAGGGGAACATTGCAATACTCCAGACACTACTAAACTCATCCTGGCTTGAACTGGGGTCAAAGTGATAAAGATGCAAAGAAATGTAGGGATTCAGGATATACTTTAGCTGTAGAAGTGAAAGAACTTGCCAAAGTTATAGAAGTCGATGTGGCAAAAGAAACAATAAATCAAGTATGATTCGCCTCTAACACCTTGGTAAGAAGTTCACTGTATGAGGGAAAGTTTGGTGGTGTGAATCGTGTGCTCTTTAGGGCTGTGAAAAGTCTGAGCTGCCTCTTAGACATGCTTGTGAAGATGTCAAGTAATAATAGGGATATATAATGCTGGAGAGAGAATAGGGCTTAAAAAAGATTTTGAGTTTAAAAATATAAAAAACAAAGGGATTTCAGGGCCAAGTCCTTGCTCTTTCCAACTTTGAGAGTAGAAGGGACCAGAAAAGGAAGCTAAGAAGGAACAACTGATGACATAGGAAGAGAACTAGGCATACGGGGTATCATGGTAGATGAGAAACAGGCGCTCTCCATGGGGGTTTCAAGCACATTTGCCTGCAAATAAGGTAGATCATTTATGTAAGCTCTGCTGATCCACACACAGAATTCTAAGGTTTTGTATATTATTCCTAGGTGTGTTGGTAAGCACGCTGACAAATCCACTCATTTTTTAAAAATTATTTATATTCAGGTTAGTTAACATATAATGTAATCTTGGCTTCAGGAGCA